GTTTGAATTGTTTGGCGACGTTATTCAATAATGAGGATATTTTTCTCTCCTGCGAAAGGTATTGCAACTGACGGACATTAAGTGGTGCTTTATGATACGTTCACGGCAACAAATCTACCATTGTGAATGGAATTTTTCCAAGGTTAAATTTCAGGCAACCATTGTTAACTGCTTGGAAGTCAAACGTAAGTAAACAGTTCAAATTAGGTTTAAGCACTACAGTCCACAAAACAAATCCATAGACGCTTGTCTGTCAACACTATAAGGGAATTCGTGACCGAAGGAGAGCATTTGAACAATAACTTCTCGCAAAATTCTCAATTCCAAATCTTTTCACTGGCGACAATTTGTGCATCTATATCTCAGCATTCTGCTAAATTATCAGCTCACGAAGAGGCTGGACTGTCGCGAAGAGACTGGAACCACCGCTGTCACGGGGAGACTGTACCATGCCGTGGTGTGATGGGCTGCGCACCTCAGTGACCCATTGAGCTGAACGGGGGATGATCCCCTCAAACTCACAGAGTCTCTCACACCAGGTTGTTCAATGACTGCAAGTCTGACGAACACAGTCTCCCGGTCCTCCATCCCAATTTAGAGTGGCGAAGGCACAGTGGTGGCTATCCTTGACCCGGAAAAGCGGTATGAAGAAGAATACAAAACATTTGGGTGCTGTAGGTACGACTTGCCTTCCTGGATGGGGATCGTGTGATCCTCACTTAGCCGGCTTAGAGACGCTGCATTATATGGCTGCTAACCGATGTCAGTGGTGTTGTAGAGCCCTGATCTTCCTCCTGTCTAGGTGTGGACGCCCTGCAAATATCCCAGCCACGTACAACCACGAACTGAGTATATACAAACATGTAATATATATAATGGTATATAATATATAAACAAAGGCCGTTGCGTGGTGCCATCAGCCGGTTTGCTCTACTTGCTGCATAAAACATGACGGTAAGCAAAAACAGACTACTGTTGACGCCTTACTTCTTCCTCTTTCGCACAATTTTTCTTCTCCTCTCCACACTCCATTAATAAATTTGCTCTTGTAAGCCCCCCGCTTGGGATTGATGACTTCGTTCCTTTTGCACTGGTTTTGCGTGCAGCATTTACTCGTCACGTAGCGCCGACAGCCTCAGATATCTCCCGTCCAATCTTCAAGTCTCAACACCTAGTCTATTTGGCCGCCTCCAATGTCTGCACTCTGAAGCAGGCAGGACAACAAGCTGCTCTTGCACTCACACTGGACTCGCTTGGTATTAATGTGTTCTGTGTTCTGGAAATACGTATTCAAGACGCGAGCACAGCGATTGAGCTAACTAGAATGAACTAATAAAGTCACTGGAATAAACATCAGGGAAAGAAAGAACACGGTTTCATGGTAATGTCTATGCTCAGAAGATTTGCATTATTCACTAGAGGTTCGAAAATGATTCCAGGACTCAAAGCGCCGACTACATGCTACGCCTGACTAATTGGACGACAATCTGGCCCGGACGCGTGTTACCATCCCTATGGTCCTGTGGCCTATCCTTACACCTCTATCTTCGGAATGTGATGTCATGTATGACTTATGGCATATGGTCTATATTTTTTGAAATCCAGTCCGTTGCAACATGAAAATTCCACCTTTGTTTACGTTTTACCCATTTTGTATTTTTTTCCTGTTCACCGTCTAGCGAAGTTTGAATTTCAGCCCAAATATTCCTCTCTCTAATGGACGCGACTGAAATGACTTTCGGTGTAGCCCACCTGAGTATGTCAACGCTGTGGCGAATTCGAAATTAAATATTTCCTTTAGTCCAAAGTTCCGGTGTGACGGAACCCAAAATTTTATTTGTTTCAATAATATTAACGTATATGCGCCAGGAATTTTTCACACTACGTTTTGTTTTCAAATTTAACAGGTTGGTTTTAATCGGGTATCTCAAAACTGCCCACTTCCTAAAGGAGATAATTTGTGGTTTCTACGGTTTGTAATTGCTTGTTTTGTATTGATTTTTGAATTCCTGTGCAACAGCACCCCTTTTTTCAGTTATCTTAGTAGTACCCATATTGTTGTCATCAGATTCAGAGGAAACATTTTGAAAATGTTGCTTCACTCTTCAAACGCACATGCTCTACTTAACTTTAATTGGTCATTCATTTGAAATAAGGGGACTTGTCGACAAAACATGGGTATCAGGAACACTGCTTGAAATTTGATCCAGAAACACAGTCGCCTAGCTCGCCTGCCAGCGGAAGCTACTCGTTAAAACCAGGCAAAACTGCGGGCCATATATGGAAATTAGTGAGACAACCCATGTGCGACGCTATCCTGTTTTGTTTCACCGTACTTTGTATTGCGCTTCAAATACAGAATTGGATGGAGCAACGGCGTTTTGGGCTTCATTGACTTCTATAGATTAGTAATGAAAGAATGCATAAAAATACCCCTAATATGTGAGCCAATCTCCACTCCAATCATATGACATGTTATTATTGTATGACGAATGACCCGCTTGTCCGCGAGAATATATAAATATCAACGCTTACAAAATGCACACTGTTATTGGCTAGCAACATCGTTTCTAATATGCCCGTTACTATACCAATGAGTTCAAAACACAGTTTTAAATATCCACAAATATCTACGTTCTTCACTGCTTTGTAGAATCAGGCATTTATGAAGAACATCATCAGTAAAGACCAAAATTTGGTTTGATAATACCTTGACAAGTTCTGCAAACAGACCATCTGTTGAGAAAATACAAAAATTTTTTCCTGGGGATTGCATACATCAAATCCGCAGTTTTTCCAAAATATTGTAAAATTTGGGAAAATTATTCAAACACCCGGTGTTACGGATGATTAACACATAAGTTATCCAAAGTATATCGTAAATTGTGGGAAAACAATTAAGGAGTTGATTTTAATGACGACTCGCACAGTCAGTCTCGACCAGAGGTGTCCTTAGCACTGCACTGCAGCAAATCCCATCCGCTTGTGCTGTTGATCAAATATTGTAAGAAAGTGTCTCAAAAATGATACACCAAGCACCCATTCAGTGTCAGTGCTGTCTTGTATCATTTGTAACCCGAAAACATTTACGTCGTTTGTCTGAAGTAAGAAAGGTTGTACAAAAGCTCTTAGTTCCACCGCATATATGATTTACGAAAATAATTAACAAACCCGTAGTCACTTACAGATCTGGTGAGTTCTTCAGCTGGCAGGATGAACGTGCGGGAAGCAAAAGTTATTTTTATTGGACGAACGCGTGGCAGGTTATTGGGAAGAACGTGAAGTATTCCGTCAACATATATTTCCACAACCGAATTTCGCAAAAGTATGTTTGATGGTCCCCTTGGCGCATGGGTGACTGTGTATCCAGTATCCACGGCTGCCAGGCATTTTCTGCAGAGGAGTACGTTACCATACTCTATGCTGTGGACAAAGAGAATATCTCGACAATGATCGTTCCTCATCAGTGGGTACTAGAAAAAGTTATAAAAAAAATAATTTAGAATACCGGAACCAAGATCCAGCAGTAGTGGGCCCAAATTTTAAGGCTTTTGTTGATAATATACATAGCCATCATGCCAGATTCACAACATCGCATGATTATTGCAATTCAGGATCTTTTGGCTAGCATTCCCGTTTTCACAATTAACACCGCGTTTGTTGAAAGAAGTTCCATGATCTCTCGCTACTAGTCCCGTACCCAGTGTCTAACTGTTAATCCAATTTAGTGCGCATCACAGAAACTGCGGTATGGCCTGATTAGGCAACCGCCCTGTTTCATCGGCCAGATTTCACACGTTCTATCTGTTGATAATCTAAAAAGCGCATAAAACAGTGTGTCGCTGCCTGCATTGACACCATGAGTCTAACATGATTCTGGTTAATATCTAGTGTTTTATCAGCAGGCACGAATGAACAATCATGTGGTATTAAGATCCCGGCTAGAAGTCTACAAACGATTCTATAACTTAAAAAACACTCAAAGACCTAAAGTGCATCACTGAAATAATGTATGCATTTCATTTTTCTGGCTAATTATCCCAGGATTTCAATTTGGAGTGTAATACGGCTTTCAAGACGTCTATATGGCACATAATTGGGGGACTGTCCACCTCAGAAGATGCCTCAGTGACTCGCTAGATGTAGCATCGTTCGAAAACGAGCAATTAATGTAGGCCGATGGCTTGACTGGCAACCGCGGAAACCAAAGGAAACCTCCCAGCTTTGAAAAGAAATTCGCTGTTTGAGTGCTAACCATTCTTCTGTTGAACAGTGTAAGAATTTAGAAGAACGCTCCACTGTGTTTGTTGGGAATTGCTGTGTAGTTTTGATGATGCTTTACCAACTGTCAGAACAAAGTGATTTCAAGACAATACTTTTACTAGAAGGAAGTTATTCGCTTATGTTAACTCGAAGTAATCGATTTGTTTGCGCGTATGTTTATTCCGGTCGCACTTAGATTGGCCGGCAGTCTCTGGACAGCAACTCTCCGTTCGCATTCAATTAACCTGTTTCATAGAGTCGGGACATTCAAGCATCCGTATTTCTAAGCCAGCATTTTTGCATGCGCTGCACCTTGTTGTTGGTGGGAAAACTTATCAGCTGTTGAACGTCTAGTGTTTGTGTTTATGCTACTTACCTGCCGGTCTCAACTTTTGAGTATTCTGTTTGACTAGTTATAAACATGTTAAGTCATGAACTTGTAAACACTGAGATTCAGAGACCACTTACACTTCCGTTTTTTGATGTATTTCAGTGACAATTGAGGACGGTTGACACCGGCCTGTCTGAGATAAATAACCTTACTAGACATACGTGCAACCAAAATGCAGCTAGCAATTGTCATTAAGTTCCAGAATGTACGAGCATACAGGTCTACCACTGAACGGTCTCCGTCAACGCTAGGAACAGTACTGACTAGATTGTAAGTTGTCCTCTCGCTGTTGATCCCTGAAATACCATATTCGACTCTGCGAAAACAATCAAAAGAGCAGCTTCTCATAGATAAGCGACACTATTCTGTATAAGCCTAATTTTTTTTACATTATATGTAAAGAAATTCCCATGTAATCAGATCTTTTTAGGTTATTCCTGGTCATAGATTTAATGAAATCATCGGGGCCATTGAGCGTTTGGGTCATTCTTTCAATCAAATATCTATGAAACGGACAACCTGCTCAAGGTACATTCTTGTAGTTAGAGGCTCTTAATTGACAGTAATGGGTAAACATTTTTAAACGATTTTTGGTGTCATGACACTCGTACTCTTTAGAAGAATAACTCGTTTTTTATCGAACAATCATGCTTGCCTTTGAATAAAACCATCATTATTCCCGGTATCCGATTTCCTTTGTCCAAATAAAGGCTCTCAATTGGATCACAACCACGCGACGTGGAGGTAGTTACATCAACTAAGATTAAAACTACTGTACAAGGTAAGGCTTTAGAATAGTTGCCCACAAACAGGTGTGCTTGAATTGGTGGATTATGAACCAACTAGAAATATCGTCCAATTAGCCCTACATTGAGTAGCGAAAATGCCGGTTTTCTATCACCGGCGGACTCGACTAAGCTGTTTAGTTTCCGCATTTTGAATTAGTTGAACACATACCGGGGGTGAATAATAATGAGGGTCAACCTGGCAAATTGCCCGGAGGTTTTTGGCCACCTAACTGTGAAGTTAATTTTAGGATTATACAAAGTAAAAGATCAAAAAACATGTTTTTGGACACATTTTAGAAACCCGCGTTGTGCCATTAAGTAGAAAAACCGTAAGTCTCGCTTCACGCAAGGTAAGCTAGCTGGAAGTTATGAACGTAACTAACATTAAAGCCATCATGATATGCAAATAAATATTGAATTATCAGCATAAAACCGCCGTTCCTCGGGCCTGTTTAGAGAACATACCAATTAGGTCAAACTCCTAGCACTCTTCGAGGTCACAAAAGTACGTGGATTTAACTCACGCCTGTATGCGAGTATCCTTCATATTTCACACCCTAAGCTGCATCTCAACACTTAAAAATGAGAAAACCAGTTAGTTGATTTTTCAACATTTAACCCAAACAACCCAGCTACATTTTACAATGATGTCAGAACCGTTGGACTCCCTTTCCAGACTGTCGAACACTCATTAGCGTAAGCAGTTAACTGTACACCTATACAGGGAATATATATGATTGATTGCTAAGCAAAATTGCACCCTTCACGGGCGATATTCGACGGTATACTTATGACGATTTTATGGATAATCCGTTCAGCCTTTTAAATCTAGACATGCACAAACGCCTAAGAAAAAGACAACCACGAGATGAGGTTGCCCTTGACAAACTTCCAAACACATGTGCGGGTAATGTCCGAACATTTTACTTTGGGTAATTTGGTCTTTGTCTTGGATCACGCTGTTGTTCACCAGATCCTGCCACGTTTCTCCTAACTCTTGAAGCGCGAGGTTATTGGCCGGACACTTTGTGATGTGGAAACAACTACTACAGCTCCCATACAGACTGCGAACGCGTAGGAAAAGCCCGAATTATTACTAGTTTCAGGTATGCGAATGCCATGATTTTCTGTGGCAAAAACATTACTCTTGGTTTGCTCGTTTTCTGCCAAATACACTCAATTGACCGTTGCGGTAAGTTTGCATAAACCGATGTCAGAATAAAATTCCAAATGTATAATTCAGTTGTTCGTGAAAGTGAGTTGGTCGGAAAACGGGCATTAGATAGAAATACCGCAGAATGTCCAAAATGGCTAAAAAAGAACAACAATGAGTAGTACCCAGAGTTAAGAAAGATGGTGCTAAACGCCACCACGCAAAATAAATAGCGTTTCATTCACATCCGGGTCCATTTATTCAATTGGCAATAAATTAGGCAAACAACTACCAGAGCCTTATTGCACTTTCCTACCGCACAGCTGAGGGGAGTTCAACTTCACGTGGGCTCTAGGTTTTAGTTCGGCCATCCGGAAGAGCTGACGCGTTCCGAACTTGTTTTTGTTCTCAATGTGCACACAACAGTAATCATTGGTGCAACTGCGTGGGTGCAGCGATTATCAGTCATCCAATTCTGATACAAACTTAGTGAGCTCAAAACCATCCGACAAATCATGTGAAAATGGTGGTTAGCATCATTGGCATTATGGCATCAATGAATGCCAGCGTAAATACATAATATATACTTGAATAATTCAAAAGTATCACAAGCTTATTTTGCAAGGAAATCTGTGCTCTACCGGCCACGAAGAAGCTGTTTCCTTTCTTCGTTTCCCTCTTCTCCCGAGCACGTTTCAGCTCATTGAGTATATTCTCTTGGATGCGAAAGCTTGAATCAATACCTCAAGCGAAACCAAATGCTGACGTTAGATATTCTATTTAGTGATTTAATTAGAAAAAACGTCAACTTGCATATTTTGTGCCTCCATGTGTACGAGCGTCTTGAAAATTTATGGGTGCTAGTGGCAGCCTTTGAGCACGAAAAAGTACAGTAGACCACGCTGCAAACTACATTTCTTGTTGGCATTCTTTGCTATGGAAATCACGGGCATCTGTGGGCAAATAAGCATTTACCTGAGAGATTATTGCTCAGAAGCCAGATATTGACTCCAATTTTACCGATATGAGAAACTCTAAGTCGGTCGTCCAATACTTGTTTGCCAAATATCGCATACACCTTGCGCGTTTACCTTGGTCGTCAATAGGTGTATTCTAATTGGGGAAGAAATCAAGTTTCCAAACGGAGAAATGTTGCCCCGTAATGAGTAAACACCATAGAACGACAACCTGTAAAAGATTTTTGCTACTTACCTGTCGATTTTAATCTTCCATTGGCTAGATTTGTACAATGATACGTAGGCAATAGACTAGACGAACGGGTCGGCCCGGACGCCTCCAAAAACCACAGTGCCATGTTCAAACCAAGAATCTTCGCGTACACCTGGTTTTCTTTGATACAAGCAAAAGACATTCTCCTCGTTAACGTTCATAATTTCCTGAATGTTCAGCAATCCAGTAATATTTAAACAAACTTTGGTAAATGTCATGGGGCTCAAATTACATCTTCGAGAGAACAAACTTGAATACAACCATGGCATTCTAACGCTTAACATGCAAGCAGTCACAAAAATGCAAAGTCATGGATTTTATCTCGCAGTGTCAATGATCTCTCGTGTGAGAACCGGATACAAAGAGTTCCAACTTGACTGATTCAAAAACGGAACATCAGTCTGGAAGCCGATAAAAACGTTAATTTTTATAAAAATGAACGGAAATTTAATTGAGCAGGAAAATAGATTTTCTGATAAAAATCAACCTAATACAACCAACAGATTCTGACACTAGGTACATGACGAACTCTTGTTTTTGTATGTAGGCGGAACATAAGTTTATCTACACTCCACCTGGCATCAGTGACAATGAAATGTTGCTTATTAGACCAAACATTACACAACTATTCGTGGCTGCTTTCAGTAATGTGTGAACTCAAATGTCGAAGCAGCATGATATCAGGAAACTAAAAGTGATTCACCGACTGTATAGTTTGACTCAGTGAACAGGATGCTCGGGAGAGCGCATGGTTGGTATAAATTAGCAAGCGTAGTTGAAAAAATATTTCATGCTCTAGGGCGACCGTTTTTGCAATTAATTTTCTCCCTAACCAAGTAAAAGTGAGATATCTTTAACAGGATCTACAACTGCAGTAATTGTTCAGTCAATTTCATCTCCAAAAGGATGAAATCCAATAGAAAACCCACATGTAATCCAAATAAAAGCCCTCATCTCTTTACATGTCAAATGTTTACGATGGTACGATGGTTTGCTGCACCTATTTTGTCAGAAAATGTGCTGGGTCATAGTATGGGCTTTCAATTTTAATGAACACATCACTGTTTCATTTGGAACCGACACAACGTTCGCACAAAGAGTGTGTACTTTGTAGAACGGAAAATCAAATCATCCAGCAACGCACACTGTTTGAAACTGTAAAGCATCTACGGAAGACATATCATCCACCTGCGCGTTTCATTTAGATTTTCACAAAAAAATTTTCACAAAAAGATAGGCTCCACCATGCGAAACTCGAAATGTCAACCGGCAGAGCATCAAAAGGTGTTGCCCCAAAGCCATCCTTAGAAGAACATTCCAATATAACCAGACGCTTAACAACATCCAAATTTCTCAGTAAACAAGTATCAATTACTACACTCATTGGTAAATCAATTTGGTTTTTCCGAGAGACTCATCTGAATCTTTCCTTTATGATATTCTACAACTGAGTGGTTTCCCTTATGAAAATGTAGTGCCATATCTCAAATTTCGTACCAACTGAATCATGAGGCGGCCTGTTTGCAGCACATTCAGTTGTAGAATTTCATAAACGAGAGATTCAGTTGAGTCTCTCGTAAAAACCAAATTGATTTGCGAATGAGCGTATTTCTCGAAAACAGTCCAATTTGGGTTCAAGTAGAACATAAGATTGACGGAAACTCGGGGACTATGAGCCCCAAGAAGGGTGAAACCGGTCGTGGGCTGTCGAAGATTTTTCAGTAACCTTGTCAGTGGTTCTCCTTATGAAAAGTATCAAATATTGTATGGAAAATGAGCTGTTCAAAATCCACAAACGCGCGTAAGTGCTAATTGCTTTTGGCTAAGTTGAAACACAACATCACGAACAACTTAGCGCCAACACTATCGATGTTCTTGCTGATTCAATGCTAGCAATCACTGTTTAATTTATTGATACATGCTGCATCTACCAAACGTTATGAGTCAAATAATAGTCAGCCTAGAAACTTTCAAAAGCGTTCATCCCCAAACGTTTCCCAAGATTTATTCACTGCGATTGCTTGAAAAATCATCTCTGACCAACGTCACAAAATTATCCCATGCCATTTGGTTGCCGTTGAAAACGTCAGTTTGTTTTCCTAGCCTGGTCGTTCGCTAGTAGTGCTCTTCGAAAACACAGAACACAATATGTAATAGGCGAAATTGGATTTCCAACAGTGCAAATGAAATTTCATTGAATAAGTAAATTGGAAAAATATCCAGCGGTATCTTGAGCAACACATACCCACAAAATCTGAATGTAAATATAGCGTCCCTCACACTACCAGTGTGTACGAGATAATCCAGCAATGTGGTTTCAAATATTTCATAGTTTCGGTCTTTTTTCGGCGGACGCCTCATTCCCATTATTCCGTCATATCCCTCTCTGTCATCAGCTGTACCCTCTCCCACTTCCATTTCGACGAAAACAAACTGAGGTACGTAATGACCTGCAATCTATCGATATGTAAAATATATTGATAATATTATCAAACCAAGAGATTGTCCATCACCATATTTCCACCATATCGCTCGCCGTCATAACTTGTTTTATATTCTTGATTCATTAAAATTCGTGTTGGTGAGCGCTCATCATATTTTCGTCTATTTTCAAACTCTTTTGATCTTGACTTGCTGGACGGAAGCCAACGTGTCCACCCTCCAGTATCAAAAAGAACCAAGAAATGTTGTTGGCCAATCTGAACCGGGATGACCGGATTGCCCAAGATGAAGAAAAATAAATAATTGAGATTGTCACTCTGGAACTTACTGCGTTGTCACTTGAAAAGTCCACGGTCAACAATTGGGATTGCACATGCAGAAATCTATACACTATTCGTACAAGTAAGCACTTCACTTACCTTTTGCACCATAAAAGAAATAAAAACGACAGAGAAAATGACATTTCACTTGATCGTCTAACAAGTGGAGCGATGTCAGTGTACACGACTGTTCCTACCACTTATTACTGGTACTTCATTTCACTTGTAAGTGCATGTAAAACCAGTCGCTCGAATACTATTGGTAGTTATCACGTGGTAGTTGTCCAAAGTCTCGGTATAATAAAGCGTTTTAGTTTTGCGGGCTATCTCATCAAAATTTTATTATGTGGTAGAGCGGCATGCCTCCTACTTTCTCCTACCAGGATACGTGAACACATGTCATGCTCTGGTTAATCTAGCAAATAGTGAGAAGAGCATGTGTTCACTTCACAGTTTTCAGTTTACTTTTCAGCCTCATTTCGCAGAAATCCAAAATAGTGTTATGAATCCTTGAGTCTGAGTTCATTAGTTAAAAGAACACCAGATGATATTATGCAAACTCAAGCATTTCGCGTAATCCAATAGAATTGAAGTCGTCTGGAATAATCGATGACTGACATGCCTCCTCCACCACGATTCCGTGAAATAAATGTCTTCTTCAGCTGTTCGTATGCAGAGACTTGTTGCTCAACCATTCGAACAAAATTTGGGAACGCGTTGAATGAGTTTCGCTTCTTTTGAAGTTTAGAAATGGCAATCCTGGAACAATTAAAAATAGCCTACTCCAGAACTTTACTTTTTCAAACATGTCATCAGCTGGATCACTTTGACCTTACAGCTTGTGTGAGTGAAATAACAGGTAAACATTGGCCGGAAATTACAGCGCGATGCAGACAAACGTTTGGGCTTTTCGAGCGTTTTAGACAAACAGAATTAAAGCAATTGGTTGAAGCTGATGCAAATTGCTCGGCAGAAACATTGGGCACTTGTGGAACTTTGCATCAGCTGGTTTTTAGCACTATAATTCCTGTTACATAAGCGTCTCTTCTAGATGAATATACTTTCTTAGAAATGGTTTTAAGATTTGCAGGGCTTATATCCACGCCAAAATCTAATCTCTCCTCAAGACAAGAGAATTGTGACATCTGAGACAGAATGTTTCATCGGGTTGCATTTACAAACTGGAGAATCTTGACAGGTGGAAGTGTTTATTGGCAAAACCAGACAATGTACCCCAACAATACTCAATATTTTTTGCATGTCAGACATTTCCCGACTTGTTGAAACAGTCATACTTATTTGAATAATGAAAAACGTGGTTCTATTGCTTGCTTGCTCATTGGAACATGTAGACCACCGATGAGCTGTAGCGAAAAGAAACCAAGTTCCACTTAGAGCTCGTTAAGTGGTCCATGCTTTTCTGTCTTGGAAAACGTTAAGGACACAATCACGCTGATTTCAAACCATTCTCCGATCCCATTGTGCTATTCTCAAATTTACTGACTTCAGACATCTCATAAAGTAAACACTTGACTATTACTGAATACATGTGGTGCTTGTTAATCGTTTGTAAATCTCATATAATTCTTGGGCCCATCGAATGATATCTATTCTATCTGGCAAATATCCAAGTCCCAGTTTACGCAAATGCAGTGAACATAAGCTCGTGATTATTGGTTAATTCATTAGCAAAGGACTGTAAGTGCATCTTTTGTTTTGTGTTTTGTAGACTGCTTTGAAAATTTAGGATATACAGCATATCTTGTAAAATAACAGTGCAGAACTTGGTGATTCTGAATGGTGGCATCGTTGTTAGTTATGCGCAGGAACCGGCAAACGTAGTGACTCCAACTTAACATAATTCAAGAAAAATACCCTCCAACTTGTCCTTATCCATATTCGGCAACATTCTGGGCCTTTCATTTTTTTATTCTTCCCATTGAGCCGAGGCTGCCTTCTGATCCTTCGAACTCATTTTGAGTAGAAGCATTTTATGCAGTTTTCTACGTTCATGCTGGGGGAATCTTTACCGGTTTTATGACGGTGTGTACGTGCTGTGGTACCAGCAATACCGCACGGACTCGGCCGCACAGATAACATGCCGCGTTGTAGTCCAAACAACGCGGCATACGATTATGGAATGTTGTCTACCATTGTGCATATTTCGGCTTCGCTCCGAAACATGTTATTTTACGCCAACATGAAGTTTGTTGACACGCTCTACCTAGCTATTTCTTCCAAAATCAGAGCTGCCAAGCCATACAAAAACTCAAGATATTCCGGATTTATTGGATGCTATTCAAGGCTCCGTTTTGAGACCACTGATGTTTTTGATCTACAGTCTCAGGCGCAAATTTAAAAACCGAAACGCTCCATCAGTTATCGATGGTGAGGGTCGATCACCGCTTGTCGCTCCGTCTAAAACATCAGCGTGGACTCCAACCACGCACGTATACGCTGTTACTTTTCTGGTCTTCGTGAAAAGCGCCTATCTCACTTAGTCATTGAGACATTAGTGAACCCGGGGATAAAAAGAAACTGTCAGAACCAGCTAGTCCAACGCTTGCCTTACAGTTCGATATCGGATGTAAACAGCTACTGGGAGGTGATATTTAAAACGCTACTCAAAATAATCAGGGTCTAAACTGGCTCTCTAATATGCAGCAAAGCAGAATGTTTGGATAGCTCAGCACAGTAGTTCGAATAGAAATTCCACTGGCCACCTGCTTCCAGCAATCCAGCATCCCAGCCTTCAACAGTAACATGGATTGTGATTTATGAGGTGCCTTTGGGCCTATTGCATTTCTCCATTCAACGATCACCGTGCTGCTGATCCTGACTTCCTTTCATGTGCTCTCTTCATTGTTGGCAATGGGTTTCTCTACCGGCACCTGTCTGGCCATTTTAAGTGTATTTGGAAGAGACCATTCAAGACTAGTGGAGTCAGTCTAGAATAGTGCCTTTTCTGAAAAATGGGAGTAACAGTAACCGTGGAGACCACAGAGGTATTGGTTGAACGCTTGTTTTGGTAAGGCTTCTGGCGTCACCGATTTTTTGTCCTCCAATGGCGCAAGAAACGTTGACTCGTAAAAATCAAAAAGGATTTTGGTCGGCTAGAGTCTGGTTTGATCACATATTCACATTTCCTCAGGTGTCAGAGCAATGCCACATGTACAGATAACCCACAACTTTGGTGTTCCTGACTTCAATGGTGCGTTCGTTTTTGTCGATAAGTAAGAGCTCATACTTACGTTCCATAACAAGGTGTGCTCCAGAAGTCTGTGAACATAATCCGATCCCCATATTCACCTAAATGTAGGCGGTTGCATGGTGGGGTTTCAAAAGTTTGCTATAAAATGTGGTGTCCGGCAAGGAAGTCTACTCTCTCCATTCTGGTCCAACTTCGTCATTGATGAAGTATTAAGCCATACGTGCAAGGTCTCCAAAACCCAGGTGTTCACATCCTTACCTTACCGAACCTTTTCGATCTAGAGTACGCAGACGCTATGCCCTCATCTTTGAAGACCAACGCAAAGCAGTAACCCTGCCTAATAGACTAACGATCACCATGCTCCCTGCGCCTTCAAATTACAAAGTCACGTTCCAAAACGTGCAGTCTCTAAACATATTTATCACAGCTTAAGGGGGTTGGGGAAAATTTTACACAGCTCGATATCTGTATTAGCTTCGATGGTAGTGTGTAAAGTTAGTGCAAGAATCTCAAAAGCCCATATCACATGTGGTAATTTGCAGCGTCAAAACTGCATATTAATATGTTATGGGTCGCGTGTATTAGGCTATGTATTAGGCTGTGTGTGAGATGCGACTGCAGTGGACAGATAATGTGAGATGTCCTCAGGTGCTCGCCCACTGATGCCCCATAAGTGTCGCTAGTTTGGGATCGTGTCAGTGGTTTAGTAGCGAGCTGATCGGAAAGCAGGTATTTGTTTGTGTGGCAAATATTTCGACCACGTAAATCATATGGCATCATCCGCTGCGACGGCTGAACAGTTTTATGCGCACGAAAAACACGCACCGAAAACCGTGTGGGTTTTTGTGCCTTCTCTTACGAGTCGCGCAAACTGCGAGGTGGATGAGGTGGATGAAGTGAATTGGCAAAAGGGTGTGAACTAGATTAGGGTTTGGATGTTGTGTGTTCTGAACTCCTTTCTGGATGAAATCTCCGTGACCCAGCTTGTGCTTGACTGGAAACATTGAGCAAAATGGCGGCTAGTCGACGTCAGTTGTCTTCGTGCTGCGCTTTTCTTTCCAGATTGTTTGACCAAACTCTGGGACGCGTAGGCACCTCCGAATGCTTGACACAGGCCAGTAATTTTTCCCCTCCATCGCACACTTTTTAATCTTCTTTTCAGCACACAGTATAAACATAACAGAAATAATAATCGTATGGCTGTAAAGCAGAACCGTCAAAAGTGATGTTGCCTTCTCTGATGATGATGACACGTTACGTGGTTCTGGAGGTCACACAGCACGCTGCAAACAACTCCTCCAATCTTGTAAGTCACCTCATTTTGTGCTACAATAAAGTGCCTAATTGCTGAGAAATTACTTTTGAACTAAACTGAGATGGACTTCCTGGGTCGTTATGAAAGAAGTAGACCTAAGAAGCAGGTGTGTGATAAGTAAGGCTCAACAATATTGGTGTTTGTACATCAAGTGTCTAGCAAACGCGCAATTCCTGAACTGAATCGATATTTGAGAAAATACTAAAGTTCCGCCTTCTCATTTCGCGTGCCCCCTTCTTACAAAGACCTCAGACGGTTTTGTCCTAAGTCTACATTCGAGGAGAAAGTCAAAAAACATGGATGTTACTGTCCACAGCATTTGTGGTGGTAACTACTGCGAATCAGCAGCCTGTTCCACCTTAACTTCAAACATAGATGTGCAAAATCACCCATGAAATCTGTCACAGTTGCCCGGTAGCCCCAACAACAATAACTTTTACATTCAAGGGAGTGGTGAACACTTACGGCACACTCTCGTTTGACAACGTGGTGCTGTTCACTCTCCGTCTGAATACAAGCCAAATGATATTATGGACCGATGATGCAATCCTGCCTCATACAAATAATGGACATTTTCCCACGCATGCGGGCCATTCCTTAACCACAACAGAAATCAAGGGAAATAACCATTTTTTGTTTTTCCAACCTCTAAGGACAATCAAATTGAAACAAGTTCGTTCCCTGACATTTTGAAGACGGAGGACAGCAAAACACGGTTAGAAGGGCAAACGAGGGGTCCTGCCTGGTACTCGATAGGAAAACTGTAGATTTTGGAAAAAGAGGAATCTAACCAATGAATTTAGAGAGCCAGCAATGTCTTGGTGATTCGGCAGGCCATTTTAACTGAATTGCTGAGACAGGTAATTTTGGTTTACTTGAAGGTCCAAACGGATATGAATCAGTGAACAAGGGGGTGGACATCACCATACAGAGTGTTCAAACCAGCTACCGCTGAAGACTGAAGCTTGAGAATGAGAGGATATGGGGATGATACTGATAA